CACCAAGCAGGGTGGAAAAGGAACAAGAGAGGGCAAGTCTGGGGCCAGCGATGCAGGGAGGAACTGCAGATCCCTCGCCTCTTGACCACTGACTCACTCTCTGACCTTGAGCTAGTTTCTTTAGCTCCTCTTCATCTCTGCTTGTTTCCCAACCCGTAAAATGAGCGTGATGCTTGGACCTCAGCTGATCCTCAGCTGCGTGTCAGCTGAATGCCCCAGAGGTGGACTCGGGTCTCCCTGACTGGCCACAGCAGCCTGGTGATGGGGGCGAATGCAGGCTGTGGACCTTCTCCTTGAAATGAATGTATTGGCACCGACTGCCATTGCTCACACAGCTGAAGGGCCTCAGTCCTACTCCAGCCCATAAAGTGGGGCTCATAATAGTATCTGCACTTATCGACGGGGGCATTCACTGTTAATGATCGTGTTGGGAGAACAAGCGTCAGAACGGCGCCCCACAAACCAGGATGGATGCTCCAGCAGGGTGATGCTGATAATGCAGTGACCGTTCCATGTTTTTTTCTTGTGGGGTTTTGGGGGGTTTGTTTTGTTTTCTTTTTGAGACAGGGTCTTGCCGTGTAGTTCAGGCTGGCCTTGAACTCACTATGTGGCCCAGGCTGGCTTTGAACTTGTGGCAATCCTCCTGCCTCAGCCTACCCCCAAGTGCTGGGGTTATAGCACACCCCCAGTTTGGTTCATTTTTTTTTGAAACAGGGCCTCACTATGTAGTTCAGCCTCCAGTCCCACAGCTTTTAGAACTGTGCCCGCCCAGGCTCCTTCCAGCTCTTTAGACTGTGATTTATAGGTCCCTAACCTACTGTCTTCCCAGGATCCCTGGGTCCCTCTGGCAACACAGACCTAAGTGATCCCAGCTCTCCTTCACCGCTCATAAGGAGTCACCTTATGAGAAGGGCTCAGAACAGCATCGGCTGCCCCATGCCCTGGACAGGCTGTGAATTTCTCTCTCCCCACCCCCACTCGCACATACCAGTGTAGGTACTGGATGGAGGGGCTTCCTTTCTGTCCCCAGCGGGGAGCACTCCTACCCTGGGTCCTTGGAGACACCGGGCACTGTGGAAATGAGCTGCTCAAATGGCACGGCAGCTGGAGACGGAGGCTCCCTCTGGAATCCTCCTACCCATCGCCCCAAAGAAGGGGAAGGAGCCCCAGGTAGCAATGAGACAGAGCTAAGCGCCCAGGAAGGGGCGCAGAGCGGGAGATGGGCGTGGGAGGGGTGTGCGTGTGCGTGTGCGTGTGTGTGTGTGTGTGTGTGTGTGTGTGGCCTCGGACTGGGAATAGCTGGCGACCTAGGGGATTAGGGGCGGGAGGCCTGGGCACTGGTCGGATTAAAAGGCCGCTGGCAGCACAGAGCCTCTGGGAGCCCTTTTCAAGGCCCAGGCAGGTGGGCGGGAGAGTGGGTGGGCGGCTCCTCACTCCTTGCCTTTCTCCTCTGCCGCCACCCCCTCTCCTCGGGCTGAATGGGGCCCCCACCCTGCCCCAGCACCAGGCCCTATTCTGGAGGTAGCTTGCGGTCACTCTCTCCCTGCAGTTCACAGCCCTTCCCCTAGCTCCCCCACCGACGCCCCAGCCCAGAGCGCCTCGCTGCCTGCCGAGCCGGGTGAATCGGGGCACAGGTACCTGAGGGAAGGGCGCTTTCGGGAGCTTCCGCACATTTTTAACAAGGAAATTGCATTTGCGGGCTCCTTACCCTGAAACCCCCACCCACACTGCTAGTACCATCTCCTCCCCTCAGAAGGAGGGTGCCCACCGCACCTCGGACACCTGCACTTGAAAACTAGCAGCCGCCCTGGGTTTGCTTCTGCCACTGCAAATGGGGGGAAGCCAGCCCACCCTGCAGACGGGCGGCCTGGCTCCGGCCATCTACCCCACTGCACACACCCTGGTCAGTGGGGCTGTGCCGTACACCCTCCTTCAAGAGCCCCCACAGTCCTTCTGGGGCCACGGGGCTCGCCTCGCTCCTGCCTTGTGGGCACGCGCAGCCCCTCTCTTCTCCTGCCCCTCCGTGGCCCTTGCCCGTGTCAGCCCCTGCCCTTGCCCTGCCTTCTCAGGTGATGGGTGGTGCTCAGCAGGTGTCCTGTGCGTGCCCAGAGCCCCGGCGGCTGACCCCACCCTTGCCTCCCCTCCCCCCAGTCACCCTCCGGAGTCCCTGAGGCCTCATTATTAGAGTGGCGGTGACCCCCATCGTCTGCCCTGTCTGGCCCTGGCATGAAAGGTAGTTTTGGCAGGGAAAGGAGGCTCGGCCTGATTCCAGCTCGCTCTCTGCAACACAGAGCCGGTAATGGGCTGGGGGCTGGGGGCTGGGGGCTGGGGGAGCCGCGGGGCAGCCCCTGTCACCAGGACAACAGCAGGGAGCCCTGGTGGGGGAGGGCTCGAGGGAGAGCAGGTGGCTCTTTGTCTCCTGTCTGATCCCAGCCTGCCCCCACCCCATCGCCCTCCCAGGCTGGAGGAGGCCCCTGGGAGGGGGCCGGCGGCTCTGCTCCCACCACACACAAAACCACTGGGCTGCCTCCCTCTGCTCTGTGCAGCGCACCGGGGCGCTGCCCGCACCCCTGCCCCTGTCTGCCCACTCACACCGAGGCCCACGTGGGACCTGGGGCCCAAGTGGCTCCCAGAGATGGAAGCAGAACCCGGCAGCCACCGCCGCCTCCCTTCTCCATGTTCAGCACCTGCATCTGAGCTGTAAGGTGACCAGAGCTGGCCGGGGATGTAGCTCAGTAGCACAAGCTCCTGCCTGGCAAGCGCAAAGTCCAGAGTTTGATTCCTGGTACCAAAAAAAAAAAAAAGGTGGGCAGAGCAGCTTCTGTGTCAGGCTTTTTCCTGCCTTAAACCTGTCTGCTCAGAGCAGGATCTCGAGGCCCTAGAAACCTCTCTCTGCCTGCACCCGGCTGGGTCTGCACTCGGTTCTTTGGACCTCGGGTTTTGATTCTGAGCAGCAGAGCAGCCTGGGCCAGGGGTGATGGTGGTGGTGCTTGAAGGTTATTGGCGGCCAGAGGCAGCCGCTTCACTTCTCAGTGCTGATTTTTCCAGCCCTCTTTCCTCATCTGTGCTGTGGGGACACTACCAGGATCTGCTACCTCTATTGTAGAGGGGCTAAGAAATCATACACATAAGGTACTTCGAACAGCGTTTGGTCCCACGAAAACACTGTAAATATTAGGTTTTTTCCTGTGCTTAATGGTGTTTACAGAGCAGGGGATAAGTGAGTTCCTTGAAATACTTGACGGGAACCCAAAGCCGAGAGCTGGAGGTGGTGGCGCTGCGCCTTAACCCCACACTGGAGAGGCTGAGGCAGGAAGATTGTGGCAAGTGCCAGGCCAGCCTGGGCTATGTAGCCAGACCCTGTCTCAAATAAACAGAAAACTGAAAACCAAATAGATGTCATCCCTGAAATTTGGGGATGGAGGATTAGGGGATATGTGGATTTTAAAATAGACCTCCTCATCGACGTCCTCCGTGTAGAGTCCTGGGAAGGAGAACTGAAATAGTCTGTGACTATGACCATTGCTCTTGGGTTGTCTTCGAAATGCTGCATGCAAAATCTGCTTTCACACACACACACACACACACACACACACACACACACACACACGGCCCTCCACGGTGTACTCTGCTCCATCTATTTATTTGTGTATCTATTTGGTGATGCTGGGGTTCGAAGCCAGGACCTCACCCGTGCTAGGCAAGCACTGTCCCCCTGAGCCACCTGCTGCAGCCCATGCATTGCCTTTTAAAACCTAAGCGGCCCCCAGCAGCCTCCGCAGGGAGGCCCGGAACCTCGGGCAGGGACTCCCTCCGCCGACAGCACCGCTCTGCACCGCGTGAAGATGGAGAGTCTTGCTCCCTCCCGGGCGTGTGGGGAGGGCACGGTGGGCTCCGGGAGGAAGGAGGCACGCAAAGGTTAAGGGCTTGTCTAGGAGAGCTGAATAAGAGGCTGCCTTTTCTAAGTGAACCCAGGAGGATTTTCACGGAGAATTAGTGCCTGTCTGTTCACCTAAGCATCGCTGTCCATTCATCCGACACATCTTGATTGAGTGCCGATAGCACAACGTGGTGATAAGGGCCCAGAGTGAATGCAGTGATACCAGGCTGTCAAGAGCTGCGGTCCAGCGAGGAGGTGAAAGTGTTGGAGACCAGTGGGGGCGGGGGCAGAGCTCGTCCATGTGCAGGGGAGCGGTGTGGACAGGGTCCTGTCTCAGGAGAGCCTTCCGGAGGAGGGGACTTGGGAGTAGTTGGCAGGAGTGAGTGAATTTCAGTGTCCCAGGGAGACAGTACTGGGGACAAAAGGGAATCTTAGATGGAGTGTCCCATGTGTGCAAAGCTGCAGAGTAGCATGTGCCTGTCATCCCAGCCACTAGGGAGGCTGAGGCAGGAGGACTTCAAGTTCGAGCCCACATAGGGCAACTCAGCAAGACCTTGTCTCAAAGTAGAAGTAAAAACAACAAGGGCGGAGCATGCAGGTCAGTGGCAAAACAGTTCCTTAGCACATGTGAGGCCCTGGTTCAGTCCCCTGCACCCCACCCACCCCAAAACAAAACTCTCAGAGCATCTCTGGGCAGCTGCCAGCTTGGCATGTGCGGGTATGGCGAGAAGGGTCCTGGGAGGGTGGCTGGCCAGGAGTAAGACTCCCCAGGCTGTGCTCCTGTGCCCAGGCAGGGCCCTCAATGTCCCCACTGGGCTCCCCCGCTTGCCCCGGCCTCTCCCGCCCTGCCTGGCACGGGGAAGGTCTCCCTCCTGTTGTCCTTGCCTCGTCCTGGGCCCTGGAAGCTCCTGCCCATTGCCTTTCCTCCCCGTTTCCCCTTGTGCTTGGGGGTCAGCCGTGGGGAGGCTGTTTTCCCGCACAAGCCGGTTGGGGCTGGTGACCCTGCAGGAGCTCCTTGGGAGCCTGCGGATGCAGCCTGGGCCTCTGCGGCAGCAGGCTGGGGGACAGGAGCCGGCGAGCATGGCGGAGATCTGGACCTGCTGTCTCGCTTCTCCCGCAGTTTGACCCTGGGAACACAGGGTACATCAGCACAGGCAAGTTCCGGAGCCTCCTGGAGAGCCACGGCTCCAACCTGGACCCGCACAAAAGGGAGGTGCTCCTGGCCCTGGCCGACAGCCGCGAGGACGGGCAGATCTGCTACCAGGACTTCGTCAACCTGGTGAGCACTCTGGGCCCTTGCCACTGCAGAGACCTCTTAGGGGTTTTGGTTTAGACACATGAAAGAGCTTTAGACAAAAGGACCTCTTCTCTGGCTTCAGCAAGCCAGAGAACACTGCCAGGGATAGCTGCCTGCTGAGGTTTCTCCTTGTCTCTGGATTCTGCTTCTCCAGTGGTCACTTATCCTCAAAGCAGTAACTGGCAATTCCATACCCTCCCATTGTGGCAGCAAAGTGGCTGCAGCTGTTCCAGCCCTCACATTCTCAGGCCACACCATGCAGAGTGAGTCTCTTCTTATGACATCTCCTGCACAAAGCATGGAATTTTCTTCCTTCCATTGACCCTGATTGGGTCAGTGGGATGTTGGTTGAGTCATACCCATCAGTGACCACCTTGGGGTGGGATCAGTTCCACCAAAATGAAGGGCTGGCAGTACGGAGGTGGTTGCTGGCAGGAAGAGGCGCTGGGGAGAGGATGCAATTAGGGTCATGCCAGGCCAGGCCTTCCGGGGAGCACGTGGTAGAGGCCAGAGTTCCTTGGGTCTGCTGGCAGATGCCCCACATCGGAGGGGCTGGCGGTGGGGGGCTCAGGGATCCCCGTTGTGCCCGGGAGTGAGGACTCCCTCCTGGGGGTCCGCGTGTGCCGTTTGGAGCTACTGTGGCAGGACTGAAATGGGGTCGGGTTAAGCAGGCACACTTTACCCACCTTGGCATGGATGGGACTTTGGGAGAAGCTGAATGCAGAGTAAGCTGAATGCAAGAGCAGAAGCCTTGGCTTGTGTCCCTGCTGGTGACGTGGGGGTCGTGCCCTGGTGTCAGGTCGCCCACAGAGGCGTTAGCGCTGCCCAGGCTCTGTGATGCGGATCCCAGGCGGGCAGGGGTCAGGCCTCTGCCGTGCCAGCCTTTTGCCGGGGCCGTGTGGCCCAGGGAGAGCACGTGTGCCTGGAGCTGCTGTGGAGGAGCAAGACCTCCTGGAAGGGGAGGCGCACAGCCAGGGCGGCTGGAGGGAGAGCGGGGATAGTCAGGGTTCACAAGGCCGGCGGTGGGGGCTGGGGATTTAGCTCAGCGGCAAAAGCACCTGCCTGGCAAGCGCAAGGTCGTGAGTTCGGTTCCCGGTACCGGAGAAAAAACCAAAAAAAAAAAAAACAAGGCCGGCAGTGGAGGCCACAGTGCCACCTGCAACCAGGCATGGCTCGGCCCGCAAGGCTCCCGCACCCCCGGCACTGGCTTGCGTGCCCCCCCAACGCAGGTGCCTGCCTGGTCTCAGGTGGAGCGAGGGCAGCCTGGGCCGGAGGGCTGCTTCCTCGGTGTGAGCTCACGCAGGCCGGTGACTTGCTGCTGTTGGGATTTCTCTGCTCCAGTTCTGGGCTGGGTGGCCAGCCCAGGCCTGGTCCATGAGATGGCGCTGCCCTGGAGCCAGATGAGGAAGGGACTGCCTGGGAGAGCTGTGGGAAGGACAGAGAGCTCAGGCCTCGGCCAGGCAGCCTGGCCGCTCGCTGGGATGGATCCTCTGGGCCTGCATTCTTGTTTGTAAAACAAACCCCAAACTTCATGCAGGATTATTGCAAGCACCAAATATGATAAAGGCTATATCCGAAGGTGGTTATAGTCTTTTAGTGTTCTCCCACCAGGTAAATTCTGCATCTTTGGTGGACCCTTATATGCTCTACCCTAAGCAGAACAAATCAGACTTGTCCGGAGCCCGCTACCGTGTTTTTCCCAGGCCTCCCTCATTACCCACTGCATACAGCTAAGCAGAGAGAGTTGTCCTGTATGGGTGTACAGGTTGTGTACTGTGCAAGGATGCCTGGGTGAGGGACTGAAATCAGGGTTGGGCTTTGCTCACCAAGGCCTAGAAGAAGAGATTGCTTTATATAATTGGCATAAATGTTCCATATGAAGCTGGACATGGTGGTGCACAGCTGCCATCCCAGCACTCTGGAAGGCTGAGGCAGGAGGATTGCCACAAGTTCAAGGACAGCCTGGATAAAAAACAAAACAAAACAAAAAAGAACAGTCTGGACTACACAGCAAGACCTGTCTCAAAAATAAATAAATTAATTAATTAATTTAATTAAATTAAATAAATAAATGCTCCATATTGGTATCATGGGCTCTGAAGTCAGACAGATGTGGATTTTTAAAAATTTCATTTATTCATTCGTTTGTTTGTTTGTTGATCTATCTGTCTATCTATCTTTTGGAGACCAGGATTCAGGTTGACCTTGAACTCACTTTGTAGCCCAGGCTGGCCTCTGTGGGCATGGAGAGGGCGAGGGAGGGGCAGCTGCAAGGGCCCATCTGGGGCATCCTGCCAGAGGGGTGGCCTTGGGGCCAGGCAGGGAGGCGAGCCGGGCCTGGGGAGGAAAGATGGGCTCTGCAGTGCGGGCTGTACCCTGGGCCTGGTCTGAACCAGGCCCTCCAGCTGCCATGTTCCTGCGGAGCTTCGACTCTGCACCACTCCGGGCCTGCCTGCTCCTGGCTTCCGGTTTGGCCCACCTCCCTGCAGAGCCAGCTAAGCAAACCCCGCAAGGCTTCCCAAGCTGCGGTCTGCGGTCACTCCCCTCAACCCCTCTGCTGTCACTCCCCTCACCCCCTCTGCTGTGTGTCTCACGCACACGTCTCCTCCAGGAAGGCTGCTGGTGGCCGTGGACAGATTGGGCTCCCCCGCCTGCTGTGCCAGCACAGCAGCTGTCACTGCGAGCCGTGAGGGCTGGCCACTGCTCTGTGCTGGGCTCTGCTGTGTCCGCTGTGTCTGGTAACCTGCCTGACGCTTAGAAGTTGCTCAGCGAATTGTGATGTCTGAGTGGATGGAAGGAGCTGGATGGGAACAAAGGCTGTGCCTCTGAACTTGGTCTCTAAAACTCCCTATGCTTCACGCCCCATCTGGTAGAACGGGGGTGTCATAGTCGAACAAGTAGACCCTGTGATGTGCTTAGATTGCCTGACACCCTAAGAGTGCAGGGAATGGTGCTTCTTTTTTTTTTTTTTTTTTTGTCTTTTTGAGACAGGGTCTCATTATGTAGTTCAGGCTGACCTTGAGCTCACTTTGTAGCCCAGGCTGGTCTCAAACTCACAACGATCCTCCTGCCTCAGCCTCCCAAGTGCTGAGATCACAGGCGTGTGCCACCATACCCGGCTGGGAATGGTGCTTCTTATTGACTGTTGCAGAAGACAGGGAAATGTGGGATTAGCTCTGGCCAGCGGGACACCGTGGCTGGGGAGGGAGGGGGCTCCCCGAGGCCCCGGCTCTGACCCTCTCCCCACGCCGCTGTGTCTGCACAGATGGGCAACAAGCGCTCCAACAGCTTCCGCCAGGCCATCCTGCAGGGCAACCGCAGGCTGAGCAGCAAGGCCCTGCTGGAGGAGAAGGGCCTGAGCCTGTCGCAGCGCCTGATCCGCCACGTGGCCTATGAGACCCTGCCCCGTGAGATTGACCGCAAGTGGTACTACGACAGCTACACCTGCTGCCCGCCGCCCTGGTTCATGATCACTGTCACCCTGCTGGAGGCAAGGATGTGGGTTGGGGGGCGCTGCCTGGCCTGAGGGGAGCGGGGTGGGGGGCTTGGGGAGAGGAGCCTAGAGGATGGCAGGGATCTTGAAGAGAGGGGCACCTTCTCCACCACAGGGTGACGGTTGGTGCTTGAATAGCCAAGTCAAACTGGTTTGAAAGTCAAACCAGTTACAGTGAGTGCAGGAGCTGTTGTAACCTAGGACTGCAGAGAGACAGTCCAAGCATGGTTATGTCCAGCAATGCTTGCTGCCGCAGAGTCCCGGATGGCCACCTGCTCCAGAACAACGGCAGCAGTTGGGGCCGGGGATATAGCTCAGCAGTACAGGTGCCTGCCTGGCAAGTGCAAGGTCCTGAGTTTGATTCCCAGTACCAGAAAAAAAAAAAAATCAACCCAGAGTGACAGCAGCAGAAGCAGTGCAGCAAGTCCATTGATTTGGGGGTTTAGCCAGGCAGACTGAGAACCTCATCCATCCATCTACAGGTGGGCAAGGGGGGGCGGCTGTTGGCTCCTGGGACTCCCTTACCCTCAGGTAAGTGCAGGCTGTACCCTGGACCTGGTCTGAACCAGGCCCTCCGGCTGCCCTGCCTCACGCTCCCCCAGGAAGGATGCCTCTGCGAGGCCGTGGGTGCTTTCTGAACACAAAAGCATCACGCAGCTACCTCTGGGAGGGAGCATTTATGAACAAGTAGAAGTGGGCCTGGCATATCTTAACTGTATTCCCCTTTGGGAATCAGCCGTACCTGCTATTATACCAAAAATCCTCCTGTGTAGGCAACAGACTCTGAAGGAACGGTTTTCCGTGTCGGTGCCCGTGAGTGGTGGGAAGCAGTCCTCTCGGCTGTTCAACCCGGGGACCCGGGCAGCCCACCCCACCGCCAGCTCCCGGATGGACGCTTGGCTTCCCTTCGGCATTTTTATAATCTTCCCTGTTTCTCTTCCAAAGCCGCAGGCCTCATTACCGCTTCTGCACACGGTCTTGTAAAGTTCTTGCCTAATCAAACGGTGGGAGCGTTCAGCTTCATGGCATCTTTCTTCTTTTTTGCTAAATCAGAAATATCTGGTCTGCTAGCCAGAGTGCATGTTTGTTGTTATGGCTTCATCCAAGTATGTACTGAAGTTGCGATTTCGCTGAGATATTCTTGGACTCCTTCTGCGAGCGCTCAGTGTGTCGGTCTATTTATTAACTTCTATTTGAAGACCAATAATAATGAGCTGCCTTGGGAGCTGTATTTGCTGCCAGGCCGCCCGTGTGGGGCTAGGTGGACAGAGCGCTCCTCAGAGAGCCAGAGAGTACAGATGCCCCAGCTTGGCCCAGATGGTCCCAACCTGGCATTCATCGTGACTTCCTCCTGCATGTGCACTGGGCCCAGGGATGGCCCCCTGTGACCTTTAGCACTTAGAAGCCTCAGGACCACTCTGGAAACCTGGGTATTGCTACCCATTTCCAGATAAGAATATTGAGGACCAGGGAATTCAAATAATTGGTCCAACTTGGTCTACAGCACCCAGATTTTGAGTCTAGATTACTTTAGTTTTTTAGGATCCTCAGCTATGTAAGCTTAAACTACCAATCTAGAAGAAACTGGAAAATGCTGACATAGCTGAAATAACTCTCTCAGAGCTCTTGTGCTTAAAGCCCAAGGCTTTTTTTTTTTTTTTTGTGGTACCGGGAATTGAACTCACAACCTCATGCTTGCCAGGCAGTCACTATGCCACTGAGCTATATCCCCAGCCCCCAAGGCTTTTGTTTTGTATACAGTTCTAGCAGTGTGATTCTCTGGTTCTATAACAGATGGAAAAGGGAACACGGAGGGGAAGCTGCTAGAAGCAGCCCAATACCAAGAAGTAATAAGAAGTTAACAGTTACCGGGGGATGGCCATGCGTGCTTATAATCCCAGCACTCTGAAATGCTGAGGCAGGAAGATCAGAAGTTCAAGCCCAGCCTGGGCAATTTAGTGACTTAATTCAAAATAAAATTTTTGAAAAGGGCTGGGGTGTATCTAGTATGAAAGCCCTAGGTTCAACCACCAGTACTATTAAAAAAGAAGAATTGAAAGTGCAGATTAGGGGTCAGGGATACAGCCCAGTGGCATAGCGCCTGCCTGGCAAGTGCAAGGTCTTGAGTTCTATTCCTGGTACCAAAAAACAAAAAAGGAAAGTGCAGGTTAACAGAGAGGTTTGTACACCCGTGCTCCTAGTGACAACAGGCAGAAGCCACCCAAGGGTCAATGGACCGAGAAGAGGCAGGCGTGTGACAGGTGCGTGTAATGGAGTACTATTTAGCCTTTAAAAGGAAGGTAATTCTGACACATGCTGCAACATGGCTGAGCCTTGAAAATGATACAAAGTAAAATAAGCCATTGGCAGAAGGAGAAACTGTGTAAGTCTGCGGATAGGAGGTCCCTACGTAGTCAAATTCATGGAGACAGAAAGGAGAATGGTGGTTGTCGGGGCTGGCTTGGGGGCTGGAATGGAGTTGGTGTGTGCTGTGTAGACTTCCAGGTTTGCAGGAGCAAAGGCGCTTGGGCAGGGTGGTGGTGAGCGTAGCACAGTGTGAACTCACTGACGCATCTCACCTCCACCCTGCAAACCGGGTGAGACGGGAACTTGCACATATATTTCACCAGTCTTTTCTGTCCTTATTCCTTTTTTTCTTTGTGTGTGTGTGTGTGTGTGTGTGTGTAGGGGTGCCTGGTATTGAGCCTGAGTCTTCACTCTGAGCTAGCTACATCCCAGCCGTTTTGATGTTTTTGAAATAGGGTCTTGCTCAGTCACTAAATCATCCAGGCCAGGTTCAAACTCGTGATCCTCCTGTCTCTCCCTCCCAGAGAACTGGGATCGCATCAGACAGCGGTGGGGTAAGGGTGGCTGAATGCTGCCCGGGCGCTGGCTGTAGGTATCTTTCATCGCCTGAGAAGGAAGGATGACAACATTCTGCGGGGTCCCCAGGGCTTGTCAGCATGAGAGGGGGTTCCTGGGCAGCCTTGTACCTCGTAACAGGCCTTCTTTATTCTGCACTTTGTCCAGGTTGCCTTTTTCCTCTACAATGGAGTGTCACTGGGTCAGTTTGTGCTGCAGGTGACCCATCCACGCTACCTGAAGAACTCTCTGGTTTACCACCCCCAGCTCCGAGCACAGGCTTGGCGCTACCTGACGTACATCTTCATGCATGCCGGGTGAGTACCTGTCTTTCTGCGGTGCCAGAGATTGAACCCAAGGCCTCACACATGCTTGGGCAAATGCTCTACCACTGAGCTACAACCCCAGGCCCTGAAGTATCTTCTCCACTGCCACAGAATTTGAGATGGCTGCTTGAAACTCATCTAATACCAAACTATACAAGTCAGCTATTGAGTGTGTATGGAAAAGACGAAAATTCTGGAAGCCAGCAGTAATATCAGCATACACAGGCATGTGATTCTCTGTACTTTCTGACCGTTTGGTCTGCACTTCCTGGTAGCTAAAGCAGAGAGGAACATGTGATCAGCCCCCAGATCTGCTGTTCATAAACTGTGAGCGTAAGTACTCCGATAAGCAAGGTAAAGGACTCATCTGTTGAAACCACCTTCTTCCAAGGTGGTCTCCATATGTGATGAGGGCTGGGGATATAGCTCAGTGGCATAAGTGCCTGCCTGGCAAGCACAAGGTCCTGAGTTCAATTCCCAGTACCAAAAAAAAAAAAAAAGACTGCATATGTGATGAGGGTGTTGTGGGGAACTCTACCAATAACTGTGGCCTCTTTGGGGGCTGGAGAGCAATCAGTTCTCACTGGTACCTCCTGCCACAGGGTAAGGACTCTTTAGCTGCCCATGTGGCCACCCTGATCTGAGTCCCTGGAAGAGCACCACTGACCAGAGCTTACGCTCCCATGGTAGAAGCCCTGCATTTTGAACGGAGAGACCCCGGGCGCCAGCCTCTGTGGTATCTTCTACACTGCCCCTGGCCCCTCAGAGGGAAGGTGCTCACTGCCGTCTGAGGAAAGGCCTTCTGGGGAAAGGCCCTGGTGCTGCCTGCTCTGGGATGGACATGGGAAGGGAATTACCGTGTCCCAGGGCACCATCATTTGTCATTCCTGTTGCTCAGCTGAAAGATCCAGTGGCCCAGAGAGAGGCCCACAGGAGCCTGTCTGTAGGAGAGGGTGCTCAGTGGTTGCGGATAAACATCTCTGCTCTGGGCTGGCGTGGGGGTGGGGCACTGGGATAGGCTGTTTACGTTGCCTGGTGCATCCCAGGCTTTGATTGCACGGGGCCGAGCGGCAGAGTGAGGGGACGTCACACTTTAGTCTTCTCATGAATCAAGATGTGAAAAGAACAGAAACGGGCTTCCCTGCCCAGGCTGTCCAAGCCTGTGGGAGTTCATGGCTGAGGGCTGCAGCCCCTCTTTCCAGTGTTGCCCTATGACCCTCTCTGGGCCCACACAGCGAGGAAGAGAATAGCTAAGGCCTCCAAAGCCGCCTGGTCCCATTCTGTGCCTCCTTAACAACAGCCGTGCGTCTGTAGTCAGTAAGACACACATGTCCTCAGCCAAAGCTGCCAGGGTGGCCGTGGGCCTTTCTTCCGTGACTGCTTCTGGTGGGGCCTTGTCTGCCGGAGAGAATCTGGCAGGATTCTCCAGGGCTGGTTTTGTTATGTTTTGTGTTTTGTTTTGTTTTGTTTTGTTTTTTAATGTGTGTGGTGCTGGGGATTGAACCCAGGACCTTCACACTGAGCTACAGCTCCAGCTCCTTTATTTTTTATTTTGAGACTGGGTTTTGCTAAATTGCCCAGGCTGGGCTCAAACTTGCCATCCTCCTGCCTCAGCCACCCAGAGGGCTAGCATTGCAGGTGCATGCCATCACACCCACCTGTGGAGCTCTGGGTTCTGAGGGAAGGGGTTCTGGTTGGTGCACGGGACAGATAGCACAGGGAGACAGCTGGCCAGCATCTCCTGGCCTCTTCTTGTCGCAAGGGCTTAGGTTGTAGAATGAAGGCCTGGCCCCAGAAACCCTCCAAATCCCTGAGACTGTGAGTCTGGTGCTGTTTCCCAGCCCCTTCCCAGAGAAATTTCCTGATGCACCTCATCTCCATGAAGTCCTTTCCCTAGCACAATCAGGAGAGGGTAGTAGACTCCAGCATGGTGGGCATTCCAGAGCTGCCTCACAAGTGCCCTTTGGAGTAGGCAGGTACCCAGCTGGGCTCCAGGCAGCACCCCACAGACCAGGAGCAGGGCTGTGACACAGGCCAGGGCCGACCCCTTTGTTGCTTCATAACCAAAGCCATCTCCAGAATGTTGTCCATGTGTGTCTCAGTTTAAATGAGATGGATAGTGGATATCGAAGTGCACTGTAAACTTGAAAGCCTCGCATTGATTGAATAATAGTATCATTACGATCTTTCCTGGTAATACGTGGACTTGGCAAAACATCCCACATACACACTTAGCAACAAGATCTGGCCCTAAATGAGGAGCAGTGTACAAAGGAAGACATTTACGGGATAGAAATCCTGGATCCTTCTCCCAACCCTGACAGTCTTGGAGTGGACCAGGTCCTTTTTCACACCAGAGAAGAGAAGCTTCTGTATGAGGTCTCTCTTTCTTTCTCTCTCTCCCTACCTCTTTCTCTCTTTTTATTTTTGTTTCTGTTTTTGAGACAGAGTCTCACTATATGCACCAGCCTGGCCTCGAACTTACAGTGATCCTTTTGCCTCAGCCTCCTGAGTGCTAGGATTGCAGGCGAGCGCCACCACACCCAGCTTCCCTATGAGATCTTAAGGGAAGACTGAATTACTAAATCATAAGCAATCTCTTTAACGCCCGCACATACTCCAAGAACATCTTTCTCCTTCACTGTCAGTAGCTCTTACAAATACAGTAGAGAACCAGAGTGACCGTAGGCAGGGCTTGGTGCCTGGAGCAGGTCAGGCACATCTGAGACCTAGCCCGTGGTCCTTTTGTATCTCATCCGTAGGGTTTTTTTTTATCCACAGATCTTAACTATGGTTAGTTCCTCTCACAGTGGCAGGTGCAGGTGCTGCCAGTCACCACCCGGGCGCTGTACGCGTGTTCCTGCCCCGGCTGGAAGGAATGCGCTTTCAGAGTGGTCGGTCTGCATTGTCACTCCTCCCTCCAGACCCTGAGCTCCTCAAAGGCAGAGGCAGAGGCCTGTTCTTTCCTGGATCCCCAGCATCTTGGCACACCGTATTTGTGGAGTGAATGGAGGAATGAATGCATGAATGTGATCTGTCACAGGATAGAACACCTGGGACTCAACGTGGTGCTGCAGCTGCTGGTGGGGGTGCCCCTGGAGATGGTGCACGGAGCCACCCGCATCGGGCTTGTCTACGTGGCTGGTGTTGTGGCAGGTACGCAGGTGGGCCCCATGTCCAAGGAAAGCCTCCCAAGCTGGGCTGGGGGAGACCCCTCAGGTGGGCCCAGCCTCAGGCTCCCAGGGCACACACAGAGCCTCATCCCCCAGGCTTCTGACTAGGTAGCCTTCCTCTCGGCAAACCTCCCTCGCTCCAGGGACACCGGGAAGAGATGGCCACCAGAGAGGGAGGTGAGTGCTGGTCAAGTGGGGAGACACAGGACTGGAACAGATAGACTGGCCAAGCTCGTTTCAGTCTCCGCACTGCTGTGTGGTAGCTGAGTGCGCTTGAGAAAATCACCGCTTCTCTCTTGATCGCATTAAGCTTGAAGGGGGGACTAATGAGACCTGCCCGGAGGATTGTTAAGAATTTGGAGGGAAGCTGCAAAGGGACCGACAGGGCACCATGGGGCAGCAGACATGTGGAGGAGCAGAGGTGTGGGCCACCTCCCTGGTCAGGGCAGCACTTAACCCAGAAGGAGATCTTGGCTGTCCTCGGAAGAGCTGCCGTCCCTTTGACTGGCCTGCCGCAGACAGGACAGTCTGGCCTTGGAGACGGTGGCCTCTCACTGCATCTGAAGGAGCCAGGGGTCTCTGCCTGTCTTGGGCGTGGGGGTGTGCGGAGCAGATTTCTGCACCAAGTCTCACAAACTTGGCTTCTGAACACAGAGAGATCCCTTCTGAGGTTTCCAACTTTATTGCTGGCTTTTTAAACAAGGTTTGCCGCTTCAGCTCTTCAGCAGACAGCTGTGCCCGAGGGAGCTTTGTGTGTATGTTTAAGTAAGATCTTAATCCTTTCTGAGTGGCATTAAGGTTGTCATCAGGGGAGCAGGGCAGCTTCAGCCTGGTAAACGAGCAGGCAGGGACCCTTGGAGGTGACTGCAGTGGTTTCAGCAATGGAAGAGAAAGGGTCCCACCCCATGCACGGGGACTCAGCCCGGGAGATTCCCCCGGCACCGGCTGCCTTGATCCTCTGTATGGCCAGCACCTTGGACCTTGGACAGCACCCAAAGTCCTCTCCCAGAATCCAGCACCTACCACGACCCTCGCAAAGGTCTAACAAGCACCTCTGTGTATCAGACTTGCTCAGCCACCTCACAAGCCCTAGACCTGCCATCTGGTGGGGGAGGATCTGCGGCTGCAGTTTGTGGTCCTAGATACCCAGAGTCCCAGATGTTCAATGGCGAGGAACAGGGACGACGCTCGTAACACTCTCAGTTAGCAGTCAATTAAACGGGAAGCCAGTAACCTGGAAGACAGAAGTAAGATTCACAGTGACTCAGATCTCACCCAAAACAGATGACACACAGTGGGGAGACGGTGCAGACGTTGCTTCCTGGTGATGCCAGTGCGGGGTAGGGAGACACGTAGGCCCAAGCAGGGGTGTCAGATGAATGTGAGGGTGGGCACTGTGACATTGAGCCAAGGGTGTGGCCTGTTCTGCCTGAGCCGTCACCTCAGACCAGAGGGCACTCTGGTCACCACATATGGGGTCATCGATCTGCAGGATTGAGTTGATCGATCTTTCTAACTGCCTCACTCCTCCCCTCTGCATCCTTCCTGAGAGAGGGAAGCCCATGTATAGACAGCCAGAACCTACCATGTGTGGCCATAGTTAATCCTCACAGCTCCCCTACGAGGTGGATGCTACTACTTTCCGCCTGCTACAGACACAGAAAATGAGGCGTAGTGCCAGATGTGGTGGTGCGTGCCTATGACCCCAGCACTTGGGAGGCTGAGGCAGGAGGATTGCCATGAGTTTGAGGCCAGCCTGAATAGCAAGACCCTGTCTCAAAAAATAAAAGAATACATGAATAATTAATGTTACATTGCTTAAAGGCAGATGTTCTAGCAATTTTTATTTGGATTTTTTTTTTTTTATCCCTAATGGCCAAGGGAGATGTTGGAGAACATCTGCCTTAAAATTTGCCAAGCTAATATTATTACAAATGTCTCTTATGACAAAGTCACTGGTTTATCTGCCTGTTGGAATGTTTTTTGGGCAACACGTAGCCCCAACTAGAACCAGCCCACCCGTTGCTGTGTGGAGGTGATTTGTCACTTAGGTTTGCTGTTCTCTCCCAGTCCAGTATCCCCACAGTGCTCACGGAGTCCCCACTGGCCTTCTGAACGTGTCATCCATGAGTTTTGTAGCAGCTTGTAGGGGAATCCTGCCTGGCTGTGGTCTTGCCCCAGGCTGGCCTTCGTTACCGTATTTACCTACCCGTATTCCTGTGTTCCTCTTTGGTCCCACCCAGCTCTCCAGGACCCAGCTGAACTGCAGGAACCGAAACCTGAAGAATTCAGGGGCTGTGCCCAAGGCCGCACAACTAGCCAGCCACGCCCGCCTCCCATACTCCTGCTACAGCCCCAACTGGCCCCTGGCCCTGGGGTTAAGACTCCAGACCTCGGGAGGGTGAGGGGTAGGTCAGTGAGGGGCAGGCTTGACCCTGGCGGGGGCCTTTCCCTGCCTGAGGCTGCCCTGCGCCTCTCTGCCCTGGTGGATCCTGCTGGGGTGGATCCTACGAGGCAAGAGGCCAGGCCAGGGAGGCTGGGGCCTCTTCTGCCCAAGCGGTAATTAATGAGGAGCCACTCGGGCAGGCAGCCCGCAGCCCTGCAATGCAGCCTTCGCAGACAGCGCCAGGAGAGCGTGGGAATCCTTTGTCATGCAGATCCCGCAGCCTGTTTGTTTGCACCCTGGGATTTTTTTTCCCCCCTTTCTGTTATATATGGCTGACCCCATGGCTAGGCCATAAAAAAGGAAAAGAAGGAGAAAAGAAAGTTATCTGACAATAGATCAATACCTAATTAAAGCCAGAAGGAAGGCATGAAAGAGGGGAAGAAAGATTTATAGTTGCCCTGGGTGGGGAGAAGGCCTTGGGAGTCCTCAGTGGTGACAGTTTGGGGTTATTTCCTGAGAGACTGCATCTCCCACGAGACCAAGAACTGCTCTTCTTCAAGGAGCACAGTAAGGCAGGCACCTTGAGGTAGCAGCCAGGGAGAGGCCAATGACCTGTGATGCTGTGGGCCAGGAGCCTGTGTCCCCTGTCCCTCCCGAGGTGTGAGGCCCCCAGCCCAGCAAGCGGCAGACCCTGGGTCTCCACCTGTGCTTTGCTCTCCAGGGGCTAATTGGCTCAGGAGCCTGCGGGCATTTTCCGGCGGTGGCCTCCGCACACTCACCCAGCCCAGCCACCGCTCATCCTCTGCGCCCTGGGCTGTACCTCCCAGTTATTTTTAGTCTCCTGTGTCTTTCCCCAGAAGCCAAAGCATTGATCACACTGAGATGAGACCAGAACAATACGTTTTCCGCCTCTCTCTGCCCAGCTTCCTTCCCAGGACAGAAGTTTGTCATCTCCCAGACCAGGAGCCGTGGGCCACCCTTCCCCCCAGACGGTGTGATGTCATCTCTCTCTCTGTGGGGACGTTTTTCCTAGGAGATTCTGTTGGCCTTTTGTGATTTATCTCAGCTTGGGGAGGCTCAGAGTGATGCTAAACAGATTTCTCGATGTGGCTAAGCAGAGGAGACCTGGACCCAGCTTGGGCAGTGGCCGTCGCTAAGGCTGAGAGCGTGGGCTTTGGTCAAGAACACTGGATTTGGCTGGGCTACTCTTCTTGCTGCTGCTCCAGATTTTGCAGTAGCCCTGCGTCAGGCAGAGGTGGGGACGAGAAGATGACGTGGGTCTTCGTCTGAGACCCACCCTGGGCAGTCACTTGCCTTCTTTTCCCATCTGTAAAATGAGATGGCAGAATCAAGAGGCTCTTTCAGCCATAGAGGGGTCCTCCGGGAGGTCCACAGGAAGTTCCGAGATGACATCTTCCTACCCAGACAGTAGAATCCAAGGCTGAGGCAGGGTGGTCAGCCAAGTCCCGCATTCCTGAGGATTCTCTCTTTCTGTACCAGGGTCCTTGGCTGTGTCAGTGGCAGACATGACCGCACCCGTCGTGGGCTCTTCTGGAGGAGTTTATGCTCTCGTCTCTGCCCATCTGGCCAATATCGTCATGGTGAGCCGCCCCTCTGTTCCCCGTGCATCCTCCTTGCCCCGCCTCTGTATTGCCAGCCTGGGCGTTAGTCCACCAGAGGGCAACAGGCCTTCCACCCACTGCTCTTCCTCTGCAGCCAGTTTCAGCCGGATCCCTCCCAGTCGGGGCTTGGCCTGTGGATAGGCCCGTCTCTCTACCCTACGTCTTCCCTTTAAAAGGTGTTAAATATGGCCACTAGTATGTGTGATGGTTGGGATTCCTTATTTGTCAGAATTGTTCAAAATAAAAGGACCTCAGAGATTATCTCACCAAAATTCCCCGATAGAGAAAGAGGCGCTGAGAGGTTAAGTGATTTGTCCAACCTCACGGTCAGGTTGTTTGCAAAACTGGGACTTGGCGAAGCAACACCTCCTGACAACCATCCCAGTGTTAGTCCCCTGCGCCGGCCCTGCCCATGACAGACGCCGTTCTGTCCCCCACGCTCTCCTTTGCCTTTTCCTGAAAGGCAACACGGTGGGATAATTAAGAGCTCTGGCCACAGAGCCGGGCAGCTGAGATCTGACTCCCAGCCACTTTCTAAAGGGTGACCTGAAGCACGCTCCTTCGCCGCTGTGGGCCCCACTTCTGCACCTGCGAAATGGAATAATGTGCAGTCAGTGAGACAAAGTGAAAATCTCCACTTCATTCCTTGGTCATGGGAAAGGCCAGGAGGAGGTCGGACTAGACAAAACCTTGCAGGCAAGGGATGAGTCTGGTACAGTAGAGGATGTCAGAGCCCGTTTTGGAGGAAGTCTGGGTGTGGAGGCCTTGCCTCACATCGCACCAGCCCGGGAGCCGCCAGGCTGTATGTGTCTGTTTCCTCTGTGCCTGGCACGGGCGGGGCTCATGCTAAATGTGCCCACCACAGTTGGGTGAGGGAAGGAATGGAGGAGGGAAGGAAGGAAGGAAGCGTGGGCCAAAGTCCAGGGCACTGCCTTGGGGGCCTCCCTCACCCCGCCTGCTCCTCCACCCGTTTTTCCCCTCGTGCCCTGCACAACGCTGGTTCCAGCGGTGCCGGGAGTTCCTGGGTTCTCCTCTGTTTTCTTCTTGCTTCAGCCCATTCGCATGTGCCCCACCCCCAGCACCACCGCTCTTCTCTTCCCCAGCGTCTCCCTGGCAAATTGTCAGAGAGAGGGAAGGAGAGACAGACAGACGGACGCTGAGTGGTCCTGCTTGCTCCTGGCCTCAATCCAGTGAGCAGCTGGAGACACTGCAGGTGCTGGGAAGCGTGTGTGACTGCGGGAGTAAAGCGTGTGTTCGTGCTCGGTGTTTTACACACACACACACACACACACACACACAGTGACACCCGAGCACACGGGGCTGCCTCACATGGCCCTTTTAAGTGGGTCATTCTGTATCAGTGCCACGTCTTTCCCCAGACACAGCTTCTCCTCTGAATTCTGCCGCCTCTGCTCTCCCGCCCCCTGCCCCAATTCCTGGTGGCACTGCTGACCCCCCCCTCTGCCCCCACCAGGTGCGGATGTGGCTGTGGGCGGGGGGCGGCAGGCACAGCTGAGGAGGAAACAAGTCGGAGTTCACCAAGGTGCCCCACTCCTGTCCCTCCCCAGCTCGTGGGAGGCAGCCCCAGCGTCCCCGCGGACTCCACGGTGGGGACAGCCCACCCCAGGACCACTGGCAGGGCCTGGGTCCGGGGAGCTATGGGGGCTGTTTGGTTACGGTTTACGCTGCTTTGTGGCAGGCGGCCCGTGGCCTGTGGCTGTGATGATGAGCAGTCTCAGCAGCAGGTGGCCATCCCGGCCAGCTGGGAGCTTTGCCCTTATGACGTGGGCATAGCCTTCACTAGAAAGTGGTACATGCTGGACATGGTGGCATGCACCTGTAATCCCAGCACTCGGGAGGCTGAGGCAGGAGGATCTTTGTGAGTTGGAGACCAGCCTGAGCTACAAAGTGAGCTCAAGGCCAGCCTGAACTGCATAGTGAGACCCTGTCTCAAAAAGACCAAAAAAAAAGGAAGAAATAGAAAGTGGTACAGTGCTTACTGATGGTACAGAAAACCTTACTTTTCTTTCCTTTTTTAAAACTTTATAGATTCCATTTTGTAGGGGTTGCTTTTATTGTGTTTTGTTTTTGCTTTTTTGAGGCAAGGTCTCACTGTGTAATTTAGGCTGGCTTTGAAATCACTATGTAGCCCAGGCTGGCCTTGAACTCTAGGCAGTCCTCCTGCCTCAGCCTCCTAAGTGCTGGGATTATAGGTGTGCGCCACCACTCCTGGCTGAACCCTTAGTTTTCTTGCTAACAAGGTCATTTTCCCTTTGTCAGGGAGCTACCTTTACCCAAATTAAGTCAGAGATGCACTGGGCCAACCTATTTGAAATGACTATTTCTGGGCTGGGGATTTAGCTCAGCGGCACAGCGCCGGCCTGGCAAGTACAAGGTCTTGAGTTCGATTCCCGGTACCGGAAAAACAAACAAACAAAAAAGAAATGACTATTTCTTTGTCCCAGGAGCATTTAAATATTAGAAACAGGCTGGGCGTGGTGGCGCACACCTGTAACCCCAGCTCTCAGGAGGCTGAGGCAGGAGGATTGTTGCAAGTTCGAGACCAGCCTGGGCTACAAAGTGAGCTCAAGGCCAGCCTGAACTGCATAGCAAGACCCTGTCTCAAAAAGACAAAAAAATGAATAAATAAAAATAAATAAATAAATATTGGTGATTTCATATGGTTCAACTTAATCAATATGCTATTGTTTCTCAATCCACAGTGGAGATTTGGAGGGTGTGTGTTTGTACCTCATTGGAAAAGAAGGCGGAAAAGGAATGGACATGACAGTCAGAAAATCTGACTTTGAGCCAGGTGTGGTGGCGCATGCCTGTAATCCCAGCACTTGGGAGGCTGAGGCAGGAGGATTGTTGTGAATTCGAGACCATCCTGGGCTATAACGTGAGCTCAAGGCCAGCCTGAACTACATAGTGAGACTCTGTCTTAAAAAAACAAACAAAAAAGTACCTTGAGCTTCAAAACACTTATAATTGATGGGGCCAGGGATATAACTCAGTGGCACAAGCATCTGCCTGGCAAGCGCAAGGTGCTGAGTTCGATTCCCAGTACCAAAAAAAAGCCACTTACAATTTACATAAAAGAATTAAGGGGCTGGGGATTTAGGTCAGTGGCACAGCGCCTGCCCGGCAAGCACAAGGTCGTGAGTTTGATTCCTGGTACCAGAAAAACAAACAAACAAACAAACAAACAAATACATCAAAGAATTAAATTCAAAAAATATTTTGGCAAAAGATCTGCCCAGAAGAAAACCTATGGTCAAGACCTCTTATTTTAAATATCCAACTACTTAAATAATTTATTAATTGCCTTCTGCAGGGGGCAATAGTTGAGAGTCTCTTTTTTTATTTTTTTGAAGTTCAGGGGATTGAACCCAGGCCTTTATACTTAGATAGCAAAACCCAGCCCTTTTCTTATTTTTCATTTTGAGTTAGGATTTTGCTAAATTCCCTAAAGTAAGTTAGAATTTGCAGTCCTCCTGCCTCAGTCTACCCCGGAGTGCTGGGATTACAGACATGCTTCACCATACCTGGCTCCTTTTTTTTTTTTTTTTTTTTCTGGTACTGGGAATCACACTCAGGGCCTTGCGCTTGCCAGGCAGGCACTTGTGCCGCTGAGCTATATCCCCGGCCCCCTCCATTTTTAAACATACAAGATATATACTTACATTTGGTCTCAGTGTTAGACGTTTCCCTAAAATATTTGAGATCTACATTTTTGCAAATTCAGACCATATTGTCAGAGCCCAAGGAAAGATAGCCGTCTGAAAAGGTACAAAAGAGTTGTGTTCAGGCTTAAAGGAAAACCTTTTGTAGGGCAGATAAGCATTCCCTGACTTAGCCATGGTGTGCTTTCATGTTTTCCGCATTGGGTTTTCTTGGTCGTTTGACAGTTTCTACCGGTGGTATGGAAAGCTGTGTTGGAGCGGAAATTCTGCCTGGGTTTCCTTCCGCCTGTTCCCCACTGCCAGCCCCCTGAGGACAGAGCTCAGAGACTCAGGCTGGGCCAGCTCTCCCGCCACTGGGATGAGCCCCCAGCCCGGCCCCTGAGCTCCTCACGGGTTGGGTGAGCAGGCTGCCTGGACGACTTGTTTGCTGCAGTTCAGTTACTATCTCACCCTTCGAGGCTCTGGGAGAGAAATTAAAGGGCCTGCGAAAGGTTCCTGTGGTTTGTGTTCCCCTGGGGGCCTGCAGGCTTTTCCACATTTATAGCAGCAGCAGTGCTGGCTGCGTGTGAGATTTTTTTCCTTCTCTCCTGGTGTTTCATTGCGCTCATTTTATTGGAGGGAATAATGGGTAGGGAAATAAGGCAGCTGGTGGGAAGGGGGACTTTTTAGTTTAACCCCTCAGTTGCTAGGAGAAGGGCTCTTTGCTCGCATTCACGCAGCCTTGGGGGATGCTGGGCGGATGGACTGGGACCCTGTGTGTAGTGTGCAGGGTGTAGCCGTGGCACTGCGCTGCAACCTTGTCAGCTTGCTGTTAACTCACTGTGACCTTGATCTAGCCCTCTGGACCCTTGCTTCTTCTTCCCTAAAGTGCTGGGCAGAGGTCAGACTGGTCAGCTTGCCGACTCCAGCAACGGGGACCCAAGCAGGAATTGCCAGAGAAAGGCTCTGGCAAGACAGGCGCTCCCTGGCTCCGTCCAAGGTCATTCGAGACCTGAATTTTTCAGCCTCTCTGGAGGGCAGGCTCATCATCTTTGCCTTAGGTCTAGACATTCATATGATACTCACCATATGGCAGAAATGAGTGCCTTATGGGTATTAATTCACCCTCACAGCCACCTGATGAGGTGGTATTGCTAGCCGAAATGCACAGTCGGGAACATGAGAGAAAAGGGAATTCTCAGCCACCCCATTGATGCCTGTGCCAGACCAAGAATATGGATAATATTTTTAAAAGACTGATCCTAGATCAGGCATGTACGTGTAATCCCAGGTACTCAGGAAGCTGAGGCAGGAAGATTGCCCAGCTTGTGCAATTTAGACCTTGTCTCAAAGTTAAAAGGGCTGGGGGTATAGCTCAAGGCTTCCTGAGTTCAATCCCTAGGAACACATGCACGCGCGCGCGCGCACACACACACATACACACACAATTGATCCCAAATTGGGCCCAGCGGGGACATGGAGGCAGAGGACTTTAGCTGAGGGAGAGTAGCTGGGACAGTCTACCTTATTTTGCCTGATATCACCCAGGACACAATGAAAGAGACGCTGTCTTCAGATACTCAGAGAATTAATTATGCTGTGTGCACATCAGAAACTGTACTGCAAAGTGGGCTACAGAGTGAGCTCAAGGCCAGCCTGAACTGCATAGTGAAACCCTGTCTCAAAAAAACAAAAGAGAGAGAAGGAGAAAGAGGGACGGAGGGGAGAAAGACACCCAAAGGTGGACATCACAGGGAGAAACAGGCTGAAAAAATAGCAGGAAAAACTTTAAAGTAGCCAAGCCCTTCCCAGGGCCTCCCCCAGAGGCAGGGATCTCCCCCCAGTGGGTGGAGGGTGTCCCTGTGCTGCCTGGCAGCAGATGTCCCCTGCGAGAAGAGCCCGTGATTCACAGCTTCCTCTGGCTGGAGGCTCCTGGGATGTGGGGCCAGATCCAGCAGAGACACCGACGCCCACTTCGTTCCCGGTGTCTTGGCACGGTCCCCCTGCGGGCAGACGCCAGAAGCGGGCAGCGCTTTCTGCCGTCTGTTTCTCAGAGCCGGCCGCAGCAGTAAGCAGAGGTCAGACCTTCACCTACGGAGGGCCATGTGTCCACCTCACCTTCGGGGAGGAAGGGCTTGTGGGTCAGTGAGGAAGAATGGGGAGGAGGCAGGCGGCGGGCGAGAAGCCAAGTGCTGCAAGGATTTCTCCCTCTCTGGCAGCTTCCCCAGGTCCCGCTTACTCCACTGATGATTGCACAGCCGGTATTGTCAGAACCCATATTAAGGGCCGCTGTAAAGTTTAATGGAAGTTGCTGCAACCTCCAAGGAGTGCGAGATGTGCCCTGGAGCGGGGCCTGGGCAGCCAGAGAGGGCGGACTGGGTGGAGAGCGGGAACAGAAGTCCCCTGGCTCTGCCCCGTTGCCTCCTTCCCTGAAGCTGGTGTGTTCCGGGAAGACCCCAAGCTGGCGTCTGAGAGTGGGCGCATGCGCAGCCGTGCAAAGGGAACAGGCCTTTGAATGCACCGCGGAGCGCTCCTCAAAGGAGCCCTGTGGTGAGGTCTTTTGTAAAGTGAAAAATGCTTTTGTAAGGTGAATAATCGTACCCTGTCTATGTGCTTTGGAGGTTCAGAGTTTTCAGAGATTCTCAGGGGGCGGGGGGATTTGTTTGAAGGCCATCTGGCCCACCCCCTTCCTGAGGCCTGATCCTCCTCTAGAGCATTCTCTTTGAGCAATGTAAAGTCCCTGTCTGGAACCTCAGTGACAGGAAACTCAGGACCGACGCCCCACACACCCACCCCCGGCCGCCGCCACTATGGGTCATTCCATCTTTGGACAGTTCTACTTATTAGAAATGCAGCTTTAAAAAAAAACCTCTCAAGTTTTTAATCCGTGGAGTCTTGGGCTTGCAGTTTTCACTGAATGTGTGGCCTTTCCTGGTATTGACTTGACATTGGTAACAATGAACTCGACCCCCCTTCCTCTTCGGGCTGGTAGCTCCAGGTTTCCACGTTCCACCCTCACTGGCAGGCCGCTGAGTTCTTTTATCACCTGATGGCTCTGCGCAGAGGTTGGGTGGTGTGCAGCCCAGCATCCTTTGTCAACCATGGGATGCAGCGCCTGAGGCGTGGATGGCTCCTGGTGCTCCCTTTGGGGTGGAGTGGGGGACTCCCATCTTCCGAGATCTAGATTCTCCGCTTATGTCAGTGGAATGCAAAGGTTTTTACAAGAATACATTCACCATTGCCCCAAACCTCCAAGTCTTGCTGGTGTGCTCTGTGACTGAGCCACACCCGGCCCCGATCTCCAACTAACAAAACTCCTTCCTTTTTCTCTAGAACTGGTCGGGCATGAAGTGTCAGTTCAAGCTGCTGCGGATGGCTGTGGCCTTGATCTGTAGTAAGTACTCACGGGCAGGCGGGGAAGGAAGCTGGTGCCAGGTCCCAGGATACAGAGATGGCCCCGTCCTTGCCTTTCAGGGGCTTCTAGCCAAGAAAAAAAAAAAAATGAGGCATATCCTCAACATTCAGCAAGGTGGGGGTGTTGTGGAAAAGCCTGCCCCCTGCACTGCTGCTTTTTTTTTTTTTTTTTTGCTACCTGGAATCAAACTCAGGACCTTGCGCTTGTCAGCCCCTACATTGCTTCTTTAGCCTTCTTCATCTTTTTGAGGACATAACACATGTAAACAAAAAAAGCACTCATAAAAAGAAAGGAAAACACTCAGCTCAAGAAAACTTGTTGCTGGGTGTGGTGGCACTCGGGAGGCTGAAGCAGGAGGATCGTTGCGAGTTTGAGACCAGCCTGGGCTACAAAGTGAGCTCAAGGCCAGTCTGAACTCCATAGCGAGAGTTCAGAAAGACTCTCAAAAAGAAAAAAAAAAAAAAAAAAAGGGTGGTACGAATGATCTCAAGCTCCGTTTATCCCTCGGGAAGTCTGTAAAGCTGGGCCTTGTGACTTTAATCTTCTTCAGATGCGCCTCCAGCCACAGCTGTGCTGTATTCTCATCCTCTGCCCTGTCTGAGTGCCTGTAATGTTCTACCTAATTTAGCTGTCTGTAATAATCTCAGAGAAGACTGTCCAGCCTTAAAACCATGGACTCTGAGCCAGGGAAGCAGGGGTAGGAGCTGGGGGTTGGGGTGGGCATAGCCTCCGTATATGCTCAGACTCTGCTTTGGAGGAAGAAGGGAGAAGTAGCAGCCTCACTGTTTATAAAAATCCAACTCTAGGCACCATGAAAACTAAAATGCTGTTGGAATTGGGAACCGTTGTCTTTCAAGCCTTCATTGACCCCTGGACCTGCTGGATATGCAGAGGCCAGAAGTGTGCTGGGAGTGGGGCAGGGCTGGGGAGAGCTGAGCTTCGGTCCCTGGCTGCTCCTTGCCCGCCCTCTGTCGGCCGTCCTTGGAGTTGCAGGGCCCAGTGCAGAGGGTCCGACAGTCCTGAGGGGAATGAAGGTCCCTGTGAGTTCTGGCACCCTTGGGGTGGTTAGAGTGCAGAGAGGCACATTGATGGGTTCAGTAGTTACCAAACAAGTATAGCATGCTCCTGAACGGGCCCTGATTCCATTGGTCAGCTTTGTCTTGGTCTCCTCATCTATAAAATGGGGATAAGAATATGTCCCTTCAGCTGGGTGTGGTGGTGCACACCTGTAATCCCAGCACTGGGGAGACAGAGCCAGGAGGATCCTCACAGGTTCAAGGCCAGCCTGGGCTACCTAGTGAGTTCCAAGCCAGCTTGGACTACATAGGAGATCTTGCCTCAAAAAGAAAGTTCTTTCAGTATTCCTTTGGTATTAGGAAGTAAGATAGGGCCGGGGATATAGTTCAGTGGACAAGTGCTTGCCTGGCAGACGCGAGGTCCTGAGTTTGATTCCTGGTACGAAAAAAATTAAAAAAAGAAGGTAAGATAGCACAGCCATCAGTACCCACCCCTTCAGGAGACTATATCCCTGGTGGACCACCCCTGGCTTCAAGTCCCAGCCCCACTGAAGCGGTTGCGGGGAGACCTCATCTCCATTTGATTGACCAACCCCAAAAGTTCATCAAAGGAGGGATTGGAGAGCAAGTGGTGGCCTCTTCAAATTGGTGAAGGGAGCCGGGTGTGGTGGCACACGCCTGTGATCCCAGCACTTGGGAGGCTGAGGCAGGAGGATCGTTGCAAGTTCGAGGCCAGCCTGGGCTACAAAGTGAGCTCAAGGCCAGCCTGAACTGCATAGCGAGACCCTGGCTCAAAAAGACAAAAAAAAAAAAAAAAAAAAAAAAAAAAAAAAAAAGTGAAGGGAGAATTTCCAGAAACTTGTTGGGGTAAAGGAAAAGTTGGGACCATTTATTTCCACTCCTTCCTTGCTCTTGTCTCCCCATCCCCGCTTCCAACCACATCAGCACTGGTTCTGCGATCAGGTCTAAAAATACTATAGACTGCCAAGCGTGGGACACATTGACATTAGTAATAACGTTCCACCGGTGCAGCCTGGTACCCTGAAGCTGAGGCTTTATACCAGTAGACACACAGGGAAACTGAGTCCCTGGGACTTAGCATGACTCCAGAGGTGACTGTGCTTCTCATGGTCTCCTCATGGTAAGACTGCTCCTGTTGCAGGGCCTGCCGGACTCTGCAGACAAGGAACCCCCCTCCTTGTGCCTGGCATTGATTTGACATCGCTTATTCCCCCGCCCCCATAGAAGTGTCTTCTAATGAAATTGCTTTCAGGATGTAATTGTCCGCTGGTTCTCTGCCAGACCCTGTAAGCGCTGGGAGAAGTGTGATCAGCCTCTTTGGTCACCGTGTCTCAGTGCCTGCGTGGCACTTGGCCTTGTGACAGCAAGTGAATGAATGGGTGGCTGCGGTGCCTCGGCCCGGGGCCCCTGTGACTTCTCTGCACTTCGTCCCTTGCAGTGAGCATGGAGTTCGGGCGGGCTGTGTGGCTGCGCTTCCACCCGTCGGCTTACCCGCCGTGTCCTCACCCCAGCTTCGTGGCACACTTGGGAGGCGTGGCTGTGGGCATCACCCTGGGCGTGGTGGTCCTGAGGAACTACGAGCAGAGGCTGCAGGACCAGTCGCTGTGGTGGATCTTTGTGGCCATGTACACCATCTTCGTGCTGTTCGCCGTCTTCTGGAACATCTTTGCCTACACCCTGCTGGACTTGAAGCTGCCTCCGCCCCCCTAGGGGGCTGAAGGACGAGGCGAGGAGGGGAGGGAAAAGCGGTGTCCAGAGGGGACACCTGCATCTTCTTCTCGTTGCCGGCTCGATGAGGCCAGGGAGGAGAGGCTGGAGACTCCGGGCCGCTGTGACACTGGGGTCTAGATTTGGACAGATGGTGGAGGCTTTTTCTGAAAGGCACTGGTGGAGAAGCTGGATATGGCTGCTGTGACTTTTCCAGGCTGTTCTGATGAGGTCGGGCCCGTCTGAAGGCTGGGGAGTGAGAGTGGCCATCCCCGTGGCTGGGCTCGTTCCCCCAGGTGCCCAGGCTCCCTGCTCCCTGCCACAGACTGAGCGGCAGCTTCTCACTCACCCTCCACCTGGAGCCCCTCAGAGACATAGGGAAGGCGTGTGGGACACCGTGGCCAGGCAGGCCTTCCCCAGCCCAGGGACGGGGCAGGCCCCGCGGCGTTCCCGCCACAGCTCGGGCCTGGGGCTCTGGGGTGGGGGAGTCCAGGGTGAGCTCCTGGCCCTGCCAGTGAGCGCTGGGTCACAGCCGCTCAGGCCTGCGCTGGGGAGAACAGGAGATGCCGTAGGCTCCAGGCCCCAGGCCCCTCTCTTGCCCTAAGTGACCAGTGACAGGAACCTAAGCTGGGGGAATAAACTTCACCCACCTTCCACCCTGCGAAAGGCACAGGACCACCCACCCTTAGACTTTTGCCTCCCTCTCACCCAGAACGCTGACGTCTCACACCAGCACGCCAGCCTCCGAGCCCTGCCTTGACTTCCAGCTCTTTTCTGTCCCTTCCACTGCCCTGGACCTATTTTGTGCCTCTCTTTTGGGAATGGAGACGGAGTGTGTGTGTGTGTGTGTGTGTGTGTGTGTGTGTGTGACAGTGTGAAGTGTGTGGAGCCGTGGGTATGTGGGGCGTCTGTGTAAGAGAGAAGGCGCGAGGAAGGGGAGAGGCGCTGGGCTGTGGCCTGGTTGCTGAGTGTCCTTGGTTTTACCAGCATTCACCCGCCTTGTTCCTGTCGCCTTTCCCTTCTGGACACCTTCCCAAGCGTCACTGGTGAGCAGGAAGAACGGTCCACACTGGAGGGAGACCTCAGGCCCCTCCCGGGGACCCTGGAATGTCGAACCGAAACTCACAGTCACATTCTATTTTTTTCTTCTGAGATGCCTTCCTTTCCAAATATGTCCTCCTTTACCTGGTTAGAAGAAACCTTGGCGGTGAGGGAGAAGAAACCTTCTGGGATCTGCTGGGGTGCGAGAGAAGCTGGGGCAGGAATATCGAGGCCATGTATCCACTTGAGTTGATGCGGTGGCCAGAAGCTATAGCAAAAGGAATCCCAGCTTAGGTAGCAAACTTTGCTCCCGAGGAGAATCTTTAGGGGCTCAGAGGAGTGTCACCATGGGGACAGCCTGTAGATAGACTCTGACGCTTAGAGCTGGGAGGGAACTTGGAGGTTTTCAGGCCCCCTCCTCCATCTCTCAGCGGGAGAATGAGATTGAGAGAATGAACTCCTTCTACCTACATCCCAGCAGCCCCAGGTGCCAGGACAGGAGTCTGCCTCCCAGCGGGGCACCAGCTGCCTCTGCCCCTGCAGGGATGGCAAAACCCAGAATTATACCAGCAGGAGGTGCCTGACCTTTGACAAAATGCCAATCCCTTTGTACTGCTTTTGGAACTCTCAACCCCTGACAGCCTCAGGCCGAGGCGGCAGAGCGGCTGGGGTCATGCAGGAGCAAGGGCAGGAGTGTGGGTACTGCCCCCGATCTTGTGCCCAGCAGAGCCCTTGTGCGTGGAGAGGTTGAGAGTCAGCCACGCCAAGCATTTGGGGGTCTTGGGCCACTGTGGCTTCCTGTCCCAGTGATTATGCGGAAATGGGCAAAGTCTCTCTCCCGGGAATACACCCAGTCACTGCCAAGGCCTTCCTCAGACTTGCCCAGCACTAACTAGACGGTGTTTGTTCCCCACATGTGGCTCCTAAGATCCTGTTGCGCTTGTGCCCGTGCTGTGATGAGGTGTGTCAGCTGAGGCAGCGTGGCCCAGGTCTCTGGCTGAGTTGCCTCGGCCTGGAGCCTCTTGTCTGTGCCCTGCCTGCGGGTCTCTGCCCTGCTGAGCGATGTGTAGGCGTCAGAGGAGGCTTCTTCAGAGAGGACTCAGAGCCAGGAAGGGAGGCTGAGGAGAGCAGGCCCGGGAGGACTGAGAGGGAACAGGACTCCATGGCCTCTGAACCGTGGCTTCCCCCACCAGAACAGAGGCGGCTGGAAAGGGGCGAGAAGGCAAAGGAAGGTTCTAGAAAGCCCTCAGAGAAGCACCAGTTCCTTCATGTCTCCAGACGCAAGCTTGTTACTAGAAGGGCCACCTGAGGCAGGATTCTACAAGTCTGTCCTCTGAGGTCTGTGACACTTGGAGGGAGTCTTATCCACCCCTCAGGCCGCCAGCCCCAAGCTGCTGGCAGCATACCCTCCTCCACCACCTTCTCTCAGCCGTGGCTCCCAAGCAGGGACACAGAGCAGGGACGAGGATCATTTCACAGGACGCAGAAAGGTTTAGTTTTTGGCCTCTGGCCTTTTCAGCAGGTCCCCTTGCTCCTGGCTCACCCCACCCTCCCAGCAGCACTTGCCCACGTGGCCTCAGCCTCCTGCCTTCCCTCCCTCCTCCCTCTCCAATGTGCCTGCCAGACAGGACGCTGCGAAGCAGAGGACGGTGTCACTCTTCCGTCAGCCTTTCAAGACACAGAAATTCAAGACAGAGAAATTGAAAGCCCGGGGATTTCCCACACACCAGCCATAGACTCGTTTGCTTGTTAAACGGGAGAGGAATTGCAGACACTGAGGAAAAGAAAACAGGCCTTCAAAGGAGAAATTTTGTTTTAATGACACCATTCATCATTCATTTTTTAATTAGGGAAAGCTCCCTAATGAGGCTCTTTCGGCAGCTAATGGGACTCTCAATTTCCCTGAGAGCCATTCTTGCCCAGAGCATTAAGGGAACCAATGCCAACCAAACCGAGCTCTCCCTCCAGCGTCCAATTCAGTTTGCAGGTAATGCAGATTGCCGGGCGCAGCGGAAGCCCTTTCCGGCATCCTTCCTGTTGCGCCCAGGGCTGGCCGCAAAGCACCGACTCTCCTCTGCCTTAAACATGGCGCCCAACCATGAACTGCCTCTGGAGGTCTTGAATAAGTGGGTGAGTGGGCGGGCGGGGAAGAACGGAAAGAAGAAAACACAAGCCACCACGTTGGTTTCTAAATATTTTTGTATTGTGTACATTCTGTATATTTTTGTTGTAACATATTATTTGAGCACAGATTCCATTAAAGATTTTTTTTAAGCCAGTGGGTGTTCCTGAAGTGGCCTGAAGGGCAGGTGTGGGAGCTCATTTGCACAGCTGGGGCAGGGTGGGCAGGAGATGGGAAAGAGTGGGGCCGGACAAGGATTCATGAAACACAGAATCGTGGTTGGCACCGGTCCTTCTAGTCCAGTGGTTCTTCCTTAACCTTTCTTGAACCACTTTTCCGGTACTGGGAATCGAACTCATGACCTTGTGCTTGCCAGGCAGGTGCTGGGCCGCTGAGCTAAATCCCCAGCCCTGAACCACTGATCTCTTGAGTGATGGAAGCTGTGATTGTCCTGCCCATAAAAATGCACCCTTGTAGATAATTTCGTGGATAATCTGGGGGGTGGGTGGCAGTGACTAAGGAAATTCATCCCAAGCTTCAGGTCAGGAACTTCTGTGCAAGCATCCTGGTGAGTACCCTACCTTCCCTCCCACTCATAACCCACACTGTTAGGAGAGATTAACACTATGACCATTATTGGGGAAATCTTTTTTCCTCCTCTGGTTTTTGAGACAGAGTTTCACTATAGTATGTACTTCAGGCTGAACTTCAACTGACCCTGTACCCCAGACTAACCTCAACCCTCGGGGATCCTCCTGCCTCAGCCTCCCAAGTGCTGGGATTACAGGTGTGCACTACCACTCCCAGCTGGAGATATCTTTGAAGTATCTTCAGGACTTCCTTCTTCACCCCAACCGCCTACCTGTTAGGTCCTCCTAGAGTCTGTCAACATCCTGATCTTAAGGTATAGTGATGTTCTCAGGGTAAAGGAACAGAAATATTTGAGAAGTCTGGGGTTTGGGAAGTGAAAGACCCAAGCTGGCTTTGAATGGATGAGGCCTGGAACAGTAAATTGTTTCCACTAACTTTTCTAAATCAGTGGCAGTGTATGTATGTAGTTTTGCTACTGTTAAATTTCTCTTTGAAGATGAAGCTGCTCTGTTCAATTCAGCTGGGAGTTGTTCCCCCAAATGTTTTTTGGGGTTTTTGGTGTGTGTGTGTGTCTTTTTGAGACAGGGTCTCCTTATGCAGTTCAGGCTGGCCTTGAGCTCACTTTGTAGCCCAGGCTAGCCTCGAACTCGCATTGACCCTCCTGCCTCAGCCTCCCAAGTGCTGAGATTACAAGCATGCGCCACCACACCCGGGCTATGTTTTGGGGATTTTTATTTTATTTTTTGAGACAAGATCTCACTATGTAGTTCAGGCTGGCCTCTTAACTCACAGTGATCCTTCTACCTCATCCTCCCAAGTGCTTTTGAAATGGTGTAATGGTGCTAATCTGTCCTAAAACTGTTTTTTGAAAGAAGCTATAATTGGTTGAGAAAGAAACCCCAAATGTTCTTTCATGTCAGTTTCCTCTATATTTCCCCCTTCCTGTATATTATTTTTAAATATTTCTAAATGCTGCAGAAACCATTGCATAACAAACTTCAGAGCGCAGTTCAGCCTAACGGTCAAAAAGCCCATGTTCATTTGGACAGTGGAGAAGCCACTTCCTTAGAAGGAAAACTCTGGAACCCCTCCTAGCACAGGGTAGTACAGGGCCTGAGGCATTTCAAGGCAAAGCCCCTGGAGAGCCAAAACTCCTTACTGAACATTTTTCCTCAGCCTCTGTTTCCCTTTTTACTTTTTTGGTCTCTCCCTTCTATAGGATTCTCATTCTTCGAATAACTTAGTAAGAGGTAATAATTAAAAAATAAGAAGATAAAAATAATAAGATAGTAAGAGCTGAGTGTGGTGGTACATGCCTGTAAACCCAGCACTTGGGAGGCTGAGGCAGGATGATCACTACAGGTTCAAGGCTACCTTGGACTACATAGTGCGACCCTGTCTCAAAAAGTTAAATCAAAACAAACAGAATAGGAAAGGAAGACAATTTAGTGAGCACCTACTATGTGCTGGGCACTGGGGTAGGCATTTCCAAAACTTCCTGTGAAGTGGCTATAAACATCCCATGTTGACACACAGGGAAACGCTGAGAAGTTTACTCACTTTTTGAGAGTAGATGGCATAGCTAGATTCACACCCAAGAGATCTGGTTCCAGCGTTCACGCCCCCAGCTGAGAAGATGGGAGTTCAAGGGCACTAAACATGGATATGAGCAGGGTGTGCCTGCAAAGCCTGCCTTCTGCCCAGGGCCACGCTGTAACAGCCACGGATCTCAGAACACTTGCTCAGAGTCTGCACAACAGGCCTCCACTTGCTCTACCCTCCCAGTAGTTTTCACGGTCCACAGCTGTCAACCTGTCCTTGCTCCCTGTCTCTCCTCAAAAGTGGGAGTAAAAATGTCAGGCAGGGAACCGAGTTCATTAAGTAAAAATTACGCCAGGCGTGGTGGCGCACGCCTGTAATCCCAGCACTCGGGAGGCTGAGGCAGGAGGATTGTTGAGAGTTCAAGACCAGCCTGGGCTACAAAGTGAGCTCAAGGCCAGCCTGAACTACATAGCGAGACTCTGTCTCAAAAAGACAAAAACAAAAACAAACAAAAAAAATTAGGTTAAAAATTACTACTTTGATAGGAGCTAAGTTTTATTATTACAAGTATCATTACAGAGAAACAGACTATTTTTGATACATGATAAAACTTATTTCCTGTGTATAGCACACAAATAATATATAAATTAATCCACAGCTGAACAAAAGACTTTTTCTTTTTTGCAGCACTGGGACTTACCCAGGACCTTTGCACTGAGCTACACTCCCAGCCTTGTATTTTGTTTTATCTTACTTATTTTTGTCTTTTTGAGACAGGGTCTCACTATGCAGTTCAGGCTGGACTTGAGTTCACTTTGTAGCCCAGGCTGGTCTCAAACTCACAACAATCCTCCTGCCTCAGCCTCCAAAGTGCTGGGATTACAGGCAGATGCCACCATGCCTGGCTTCCCAGTCTTTTAAAAATATTTTTATTTGGAAACAAAGTCTTGCTAAGTCTCTAAATTGTTCAGACAGGACTCGAAGTTGTAGTCCTCCTGCCTCAGCCTCCCAGAGTGCTGGGATTCTAAGTGTGTGCTACCACATCTATCTCTGAACAAATACTTTTAAAAGTTAATACATTTTTAAAAAGGTAATACACTAGCTTATTAAAATTTGAATACAAGCCAGGCATGGTGGGACACTCCTGTAATCCCAGCACTCGGGAGGCTGAGGCAGGAGGATCGTTGCAAGTTCGAGACCAGCCTGAGCTACAAAGTGAGCTGAAGGCCAGCCTGAACTGCATAGCGAGACCCTGTTTCAAAAAGACAAAAAAAAAAAAAAACCTCATTTGAATACAGTACACGTTTCTCATCATGAGCTATAAATTTCTTATGGTCAACATTTTCAATTCCATGATATCATTTTCCTTGTTTATAACAGTGATACAGAATTTGTCAAGACTTATTTTTTAAACAAGTATACAACTACTGCATACAACTATGTAGTGAGTCTACATTACAAAAATACAGACTACCTTAAACCTTGCCTATATCTGTAAGTGAAGTGAAGCAGGTAACAATTTGCTTTTAAATACCATTTACAAAATGGACTCTTGAATGACATTATGAATTTGAGCAAGGTGTGGTGGTAAAGCCTGTAACTGCAGCACTTGGCAGGCTGACACAGACCAATCGCTGAGTTCGAGGCCAGCCGGGGCTACATAAGTGAGTTCAAGGCCAGTCTGAACCAGATAGTGAGACCCGGTCTCAAAAACAAAACAACACAAAAACATTATGAATTTGAAAATGAAAACCATGTTTTCCAGACTCAAAGTGTTGACATCCTAATATTACTTATTTAAAAAACTGTTTTCCAAGAGGGCAACAGAGTATACCAGAAACAGATAGGATTGTGTCATAACACTGCTGATTGTCCAGCAATCTTGGACACTATAAAAAAGAGATTTTTTTCTATACTGCCTATAACCCAGGTTATTAAATTTTAAAGCCATATGAAAGCATTTATGAAGACACTGAATTGTTATTTCTCATTAAAGGAAAAGAAATGTCTTGGTGAGTCATGTCCCTAAGTTAAAATTCAGCACTTCCTGTGAACTGGCAGTGAGAGTATTCTTCAGTCTACGGGCCTGGGCTCATCTGAGCATCCTGAAGGCAGTGAAAATACAAGACTTCTGATCTAAACAAAAATCATTCTCAAATAAATTTATGAAAGAGCTATGTAAAACAAATATGTGTGTAGCTACTGCTGACTTCCATGGGAATTACAAATGGCTAGTTGAGGATACTTTGAATTGGTTAGGAATAAAACAATCTAAGACTTGTAACAAATGTACAAAACACTAAGATCAGCCGGGCGTGGTGGTGCATACCTGTAATCCAGGCACTAGGGAAGCTGAGACAGGGAGATCGTTGGGATTTCAAGACCAGCATGGGCTACAAAGTGAGCTCAACGCCAGCCTGAACTGCAGAATGAGACCCTGTCTCAAAAAGACAAATAAAACAAAACAAAAACCACTAAGATCAATGAGTAACTAAAGAACTGATGTACAAAGAATCAATTTGCATTCCTTATGCTAGTTTCCTCATAAAATTTATGTAAAAGAAAACACAGGCTTTAGACAGATACCTATGAACAAATGAAGAAAAGCAGTGACAGGGCCACTTCTGCAGTAGCTTTCCATCAGAGAGCATGTTTTATCTTGAAGCTAATGCATCTACTTTTAACGTTCATTTAATTTCTTATACACTCATGATTTATTTGCATATTAACTTAAAAGCTGGCTTCATCATCCATGCCAGCTATCAATCAGATAAAAAATGTATCTCATGCCCACAGGATGCACAGATTTGTCTTCTGAAATGGTGTGGTGGTGCTAATCTGTCCTAAGACTAAGATTTTGTTTTTTATTTATTTTTTTTGTTTGTTTGTTTGTTTTTTTTGGGTTTTTCTCCGGTACCAGGAACCGAACTCACGACCTTGCGCTTGCCAGGCAGGCGCTTTTGCCGCTGAGCTAAATCCCCAGCCCCTAGATTTTGTTTTTTAAAAGAAGCTGTAATTGGTTGAGAAAGAAGTATTACGATTTTTCTGGAAGAAAAGTTGCTAAATACTGCAACAAACTCCTGAGAGAAGTCACAAAATTACCCCTGTTTTTTAGGCAACAAATTTCTAAAGTTTAGAATTTATGGGACAAATAATATACTAAAATTCAAATTCTTTTTGAGACAGAGTCTCACTGTGTAATTCAGGCTGGCTTTGAACTATGTAGCTGAGGCTGGCTTCGAACTTGCAATGATCATCTTCCCTCAGCCTCAACTTTTTTTTTTTTTTTTGGTACCAGGAGTCCAAATCAGGACCTTGCACTTGCGAGGCAGGTGCTATGCCACTGAGCTATATACCCAGCCCCTAAAACTCAAACTCTTAACACACATACCTACTTAAGACTCGGTGAAGATGTTCCTCATATTTTTATGTTTAATTAAGTTAAAATTTAAAAGTTAAAAAAAAAAAAGAACATGGTATTTTTCAAATAATCTTGCCAGGTGTGGTGGCACACATCTGTAATCCCAGCACTCAGGATGCTGAGGCAGGAGAATCATCACAAGTTCAAGGCCAGCCTGGACTACATGGGGGAGTTGAAAACCAGTCTGAACTACATGGCCAGACCCTGACTCAAAAAATAAAAATAAACAAATAAACAAATAACAAATAATCTTAAATAGTAATCCTATGAACAATTAAAACCACCGCCATTTCAAACACCCAGGCTTGAATATACAACTTCACAGTTATCGCAAAACATGATCAACAGCTCTGGGCAAGCACCTCTCTCATGAACTCTTCAAGGACCGCGACCACGTTTTTGGCTTCGGGCATCTCTTCATGTTCCACTTTAACAATCTTCAGAAGAATGTCTCCGCTACCACAGTTTTTTAGGAACATGTAACATTTAAACAAAGCATAATGATTCATTTCTGCCTGCCGGATAAATCTCTTCAAATTGTTTGTGTCTTGAATGGCCTAGAAAAAGATTACCCAATTAAATATATATTTAGTAAGATAATAATGAAGCTTAAAAAGTATCTCACCCAACTGAGAACTCAGCATACGTTGCTGTTTGCATTTTATTTTAAATAATTCCATCATTCTTATTGATAATATGCTTTGCCCTTCGTAGAACAAAATCTCACCTGTAAAAACATTTCTGTATCACAAATTATCATCAATTAAGATTGATGTCCCACTGGGCGTGGTGGTGCACGCCTGTAATCTCAGCACTCAGGAGGCTGAGGTAAGGGGATCGTTCGAGACCAACCTGGGCTACAAAGTGAGGTCAAGGCCAGCCTTAACTGCATATCGAGACCCTGTCTTAAAAAGACAAAAAAAAAAAAAAAA